GATCCTATGGTTCGAATCGATATCGACTCGAAATATTGGTTTCTAGGTCCAGTACAGTCAAAAACTGAGTTGCGTAGGGTGTATTGAGATAACTTGCCTTTAGGTATGGAAATAAGAATTTCATGAAGCATGGAGTTTTCAAAAAGCCAACTGACCTACACAAAAACCTGCAAACCGCTTACAAGAATGTTGTCGAGCACCCGGACACGGCTGTTGTCTCGAAGGGACTAGCCGGCTCTGACCCTTTTCCTATTAAAACCGTTAAATTTACTTTGAGTACTACTCAATTTCATTTTAAAAACCCTTCATGAATGGCCATATCTTTGGAATAGTTATAGACTTCAGTTCCATCCAGCTGAGGGTACCTGACTTGCCCTGTAGACAGAATCAAACTCATATTCCACCTCAACTCGAAACCTCAGCACGACATGCAAAACTTTGTAAACACTATATTCGTTGTGCTCACTGGGGTAAATTAACTGGTAAATCACCGAGAGCTGGAAGCTTTGCCCTGCTTGGATAGCGGTGTCGAACCTTACGACCATGCAAATATCGAATTCGAGTTGATTGTTACAAATACACGCAAATAGTAAAGATGTATGTGAACCTATGATCGTGTCTTGTATTCGTTCAAGTACAATCCAATTACGATAATTGTAAATCTTTAGTAGAAATCCAAATCACAACGAACGAATTCAATGAGCTCGGCAACTTTGGGCACTCGTGATACTGCACATTTCATAAATACACTCAATTATTATTGTGCAGCATAAAAGCAACAAAATAAATAAATAAATAAATAAAAAGAGCAAGTATTACAATAGGTAAACCAGAGTTGCAAACAAAAGCGATGGAATGATCAAATACGTTGATGTTAACGACACCGGCCGTTGAGAGGAAGGATTTGTAGAAGTCGTTGGCTCTGGCTCAGGATTTGGCGTCGTCTCCGATGAGAACAGTCCGATCACCAGTCCACCCTGAAAATAACCATATGCCATCAAAGGTGCATTTTTTATTCTGAAACATAAATGTTAACTTTGATAACGTTTGTATGTATCTAGGGTCTTTTTGTCAAGCGGACCTAAAGTACCCCACTCGAAGTTCACTTTATTGGGGGAAAAAAACTTAAGTTCCACTGTTTAGTTTTACGAAGCCAAACTAGTTGCGAGGC